TGCTGTCAAAAAATGCCTCCCCAAAGTAACGGAAAAGTCCTTTGTTAAAACATCTCCATCCTGGTCTTTCTGACAGTCGGGTGTTGCCTCCGACACAGCCTTAACGCAGCGAAGCATCAGGTTTGTTCTTAAACCCATCCCACCAAAGCTGATCTGTGGAGCTCGGTTTCAATCATATGCTTAAAACTAAATGCTGTGCAGCACGAGAGCCTAAAGACGGGCTGTTTCCCTTCCCCCCTTTCCTTCTGCGTCAGCAATGCTACCGGGAGGGAGCTGGAGGTGTGAGACCCCACTGCCGCGTGCTGCAGGACGGAAGCAGTTAGAGATGTGATTTTGGGGTTGTGAGCCCTGCTCTCCAAAGTGCTGCTAAGTGATTTCTTTCCTTCCCTTGTTTTCTGTTTAATTTGTCCGTATCGTTCACCTCTCGAACTCTGCTTAATATTTGCCCCCAGAATGCTCCTTACAAGATGTTTGTAGGTTATGTCCAAATGAGAGGAGGGTCTTCCAGGTCTTCTGGAGTCTCGTGAGGTTGTCCCATGCATGTGCCCTCTGGCTTCTTTTCTTTCTGGTCTCTCGCAGGTCTTCTCCTCATCCAGAGAGAAGACAGTTGGAGTACATCGGAGATGCGCTCGCCTCTGCCGGTCTGAGAGCAGGGGATGGGGATTTTTCCCCGTGCTTTGATCTGTGGTATGGCGGCATAATGTGCTGCAGCTGTGGAGCCCAGGCCGGTTCAATATACACAGAGAAATCTTGCAAATGGGTTGGGAATTGTTAGCAGACTGAAAGAAATCCAGTGCATGTCAAACTCCAGCAGATGTGGGGATCCCCATTTCCTTCCCCCACCCCGCCCCCGTCCTGTGCTCACTTGGACCCAGATACCGTTTCTTAAACTAAGTTTGCATCTTCAAGAGAACGGGAGCTGACTTCCAATAACGTCAGCAGAAGCCAAATAATGAGGGGAGAGTGTGTAAAAACAGAGTCCATCTGAGCATGGAGCAGTGAAGGATGCCGGAGCTCATCCTGGGTGTTTCCATACCCAGGGATGCACAGCTCTGCACAGCAGGATGGTTTAGCAAGCCGCTGTGGCTCTTTTTCCTTTCGTGGTCCTCCTCATCAGAGGCAAAGCTCCAGGACAGGTAGATTTTCGTGCACATGCTCTTGTTTCTTGGTCCAACTTCATTTGAAAACAGGAAAACTCACATGGCGGTGTGGGAGTGGAAGTGGACCTGAAGACAGCAGCCGGGTAAAGAAGACTTGAAGCGCCTCCTAATTATGCGAGTGGGAGTTTTCTATGCTGAAAAACAGATTTGATATTAAGAGCTTTAAGTGACTTTCCTGTTTGAAAGCTTTGTAGTAAACAAAATGTGATTAACTCCCTTAGTGACTCATTGCAGAAAAGATTTTGATTTTCAGTGTGGTGCTTTTCTATCATGTACTCGTTTTAATTATCCCTGCTGAATAATAGAGCTTGATAACAGCTTGGGCAAGGTAGGAGGGAAGGTCATCAAGATAGCTGTCCTTTTTTAATATTCCAGCATTCTTGCACAGAGCCTTTCGTAGCGTCTGCCCTGCCACTGACAGGGCACCGGCTGAGGCACATCCTGTGAGATGCTATCAACGTATCCTGTAATTTTAGAAAAGGTTCGAGGGGCAGCGTGCGCTGCGGATGATTCAGGAGGGGGAGATGAAGCCGTGACTGTTGACAGCGAGTCTGTCTTGTCCCTGCCTCCCCTGCTCCAGTCCTCGCAGAGTGACGAGGACAGTGACGGGATCTGCTGAATAACTCGCTAGAGAGTAAAACTGCAGAGCAGCCACCGGTCCCCACCGCTCAGCTTTCCCATCCCGCCAGTATTGTATGACACTGCTTTGCATCCATCACGTTTTTGTCTCTGCCTTTATGGACCAGCTCTGCTTGGGTTTTGTTTTGGTGGTGGCAGTGGTGCTGGTGGGGGGTGTCCCTTTAATGCTACTGCAGGGATGCAGACCTCCTGGGGCAGGGTGTTTCTAGGTCTGAGCCCCTGGCGTGGACCCATCTCAGCTGTGCACGGAGCCACCCTGAACCATTCCCATTGCCACCTGCGTAAGATGACAGTATGTGCGAGGTTTGAAGGTGCCTCTCTCCTCCGGAGGCTGCTGGCAGGGCCAGTGCTCAGGCTTCTCGGGGAGTTTTACAGGTCTGAAGGGCAGCAGGGGTCTGCAGGGTACCAGCATCCCGCAGGCTGCCCGCCCTCCGGGGATGGAGCGTGCACCGCGCTGCTTTGGTACCCTTCCTCATTCCCATGTTGTGCAGAGCCACATCAGATGCTGCAGAAACCTTTGCCTTATTGCTATCTTCCTTATCAATCACTTCTGTAAAATAATGATCACCTTTTACTGGATCTCCTTGTTCTTCCTTGCTGGTTATGGTGGTGTCAGTTTGCTCTGTTGCATCTCTGGCATTTGCCTCTGTGAGATGATGCTTTTTCTGCAGGTGGTAGTTGATGCCGAGAGCTCGTGGGGGTCTGTGCTGTCTATCTGGCATTTTCTTCATACCACAGGATGGTATTGCGTACAAATGGCCCTGCCGGAGGGGATTTTCATCCTGCTCCGTGAGATGTGCCATGGGGAGTTTGGGTTTTTGCTGCCTTACCCCTGCCAGGTTCTCCAGGTTTATTCTTGGCTAAAAATTACAGGATGTAAATTGTTTGGATTCATGGATTTTGAAAATGTGTAATAGTTTCTGTTTACTGTCATCTTCAGTTAGCATTGGTATCAAAAATACTTCATTTTTTTATGACTAGGGAAAAAAAAAAGGAAAAATAATTTGGAACAGCAGATGGGTGAAATCTGCTTGAACTCAGCAAGGTGCCTGCTAACAGGTATCGTTTAAGGCTGTAAATAGCCCTATTGAAGGCCACTGGGGTCATCCCTATTCACAAAGACATGTATGTCTAAACATCATCTGTTATAAGGCTCAGACCAAGAAGGGTGCCTATTTCCTATTAATTTACCTGCCAAATAAGCTTGTAACTATTTTTGTGGATCTTTGTTTGCTTAAGCATGTCTATGTTGGGTTAAGCCCAAGGTCCAACTAACTTCTTGTATTGTCTCTAATAGCAGCCATTAACAGATGCATGGGGAGGAATATAAAACATAAAGTGATCTTCTGGGGCAGCTCCTGGCAGTCAAATGGTTTAGGGACTTTCCAGGGAGGAGGTTGTGTTCTGAAGTTGCCCCGAACCTCTGGGAATGCATCTAATACCTTTTTAACGCATTTGCACTTTTGGCTCCTGTAAAGTCAATGATTTGCTGGGTGGAAAAGTACATCTTTTGTTCGTTTCTAAACCAGCTACTCCATCCTTCGTCAGATTGCCTTAACGTCTTGGATCAGGAGAGACGGTCAATAATCGTTCCCAGTTGACTCCTTCTACCAGACTCTGCTCTGTCCCCTCTTCTCCGCGCTCAGCAGCCCTGAGCTCGCAGACGTCGCACAGCCCACGTGCAGTCTTGGGAACTGGGTATTTCTGGATATTTACTTACGAGGTCTGGACAGTTTTGCAGGGTCTTTAACTGGAATTTGGGATTTTTCCTGAGCCCCAAGCCTGCTAAACTTTGTTTAGTGCTGCAAGTGAAGATTTTTTTTTTATTTTTTTATATTTTTTTTTTTTTAGCAATTTGGATGGACCAATAGGCCAGGATGTGCCATGGTGCTGGAATCCCCTCCTCCTCTGAGCTCTCATGTTTTAGCACTGAAAGGTCACTGGTGTCTTCTTGAAAACTGTCCCTACTGCAAATGTAAAGAAGCTTCAGGATGCTCCTGGTGTAGCCGCAATGGGTCCTTACAGAAACTCCCTGTGTTCTTCTACTAAGGCAGGCAGGAACATTATAATTAGGGGCAATGTCAGAGGTAGGCAAATACCCCCTAATTGTATGCAGATGATAGAGCTGGTTCAACCTTTTGACTAGTGAAGCTTTCCTCAATTTGGGATATTGTGATCCTAATCAGGGACCTTTCCGCCATACATCAAAGCCGTCAGGCTGAACCCGCATACCTTGGGGCTGGCACGGCTTGATTGCACGGCTTCCTGCTAGCGGGCTCATCCCTGGCCAGGTGTCTCGCCTGCTGTGGACAACTGATTCCTTTTTACTCTTCATCACTGAGGCAAAGAAATTTAATCCCAATATTACTGCCAGCCCTGGAATGGACCCACTGATTTGGAAATTTCACCCTCTCGTTGCCCTGAAATATCATTGCACAGCAACCTCTGATACCTGCTCGTTTCATTGCCAACCTCTAACCTAAGGTGGAGCAGACCTGTCATTAGCGCATTCATCTGTGTTTAGATCTGTCAGCTTCCTTCCCCTTCTCCTCTTTTGTTTCTCTAATTACTTTGATTGCATCTCCGCATCCAGCTCAGGGCCGGTGAGGCTGCCGGGTCCCCATCCCAGTCCATGTCACTATTTCCTTTTCTATTGGCAGTAGAGATGGCTTTGCGAGAGGGAGAGAACTGAGTCTGGATTTTAACACCGTGAACAGGGCTGTGTTTAGGTCTGCAGATTACTTTTCAGTCTGTTATACAGAAATGTCCCAGCGTCAGAGCCTGCTTTTCAGGCTCTCGATGCTCCGTGCCCTCCCCGCCTCGTACCCAGCAATCCTGGAAGCTGATGCTGGGAGCACTGGGCTGCTCATAGCCGCTCTGCAGAGACTCAGCTGTGGGTGAAGTATCTTCCAGCACCCTTTAAGTGATGTGGCATATTCCGCAAGGATTTGTGTTAAATTTTCAGTAAACGGGCAGCGAAAGGAGTCATGTTGGAGCTCTTGTTGCATTGTATTCCCTCGGGGAGAACAGCTGGGCCTGGGGTGCAGATGTGGTTGGTCTCCAGGGAGTCGTTCCAGCCTCTGCGTTTCCCTGCTGTTGCAGGCTCTTACTGTAGTTGAACCAGAGTATTTGGCATCTTGAGATAATACCTTTGTAACTGTGCTTTTTGTCTTTTTTCTTTTTTTTTTTTTTTTTTCCCAGCAGCGGATTAAAATTCGAGGAGATCGCTGCTGGAGAGACTTAACTTGTATGGATTATCACTATGAGGTGAGTGATCTGCACATTAGAACTAATTTCTCTTGTCTGCTTTACTTTGGTAGAAAAATGTTCTCTAACCTTCTCTTCTGCCAGGCAGCTCTCCATGTTTTCTTTCTTTATCGTAGTCTGTCTCTGGCAACGCAGTCCATGTCCATGCGCCAGCTCAGGGATGCTGTTTTTCCCAACCACGGTCTTAAAAGACCAATTTCTCTCCATCCCTCCCCTCACCATCGTGGACTGATTCAGGAGCAACCCTAAGCCCTGCTGAGAACTCCCTCTGTAAAAATTCTACAGGAGAGGAGCAGAAAGGACTTCTCCATAGCATTGTGCTGAGTGCTCTCTGCTCACGCTTCCAAAATGCAGCCATATGTAGACAGAAATAGAGTATCTCAGCGCTCTCCAAGATGCTGAGCACTAATCGTTGGCAATTCAGAATTATACAGTTTTATCTCTTCGACATCTGTTTCAGTGATTACATTGCATTCTGATTATAAACTGTGGTTTGTGTTCTGGCTCCGAGTGTTGTCCCCTCTTTGATTACAGAGAGAGGGAGCTCAGCTTCCCCTCTCTTTTTACCTATATTTCTGCGTTTGCCTTTTGTGTAAACAGTGTTAGAAAAGAAAGAAATTGCTGTGTACAATGACACTCCATTGGGCGGGTAGCCCTGCTTTGATGAAGGAAGCAGCACTGAAGGAATATTCCCTCCTCCAGATTAATATCACAGCCACTGAAAATGGCACACTGCGTTGTGACGCCTCTGATGTATGATCCGTGCCCATCTAACGAGCGGGCGAGCGCCCTGCATCTGTTAGCACAGGACTGCAAAGGTTCAGCCTTCCGCCGCACTTGTGCCATGTCAGTAAGACCTGGGGACCTCTTTGTGCCTCAACCACACGATTGTTTGGGGCCAGCAGGCCTGAGCTGTCGGTCCCTGGAGATGTACCTTTGGGGTGACATTCTCAGCGGACCTTCATCACGTCTGGAAACCATTTTCCCCCTCCAATTAAAGCTGACGGAACCTGACTTCTCTGACCTGCAGAACATGTTCCGAGGTGTTGCCTATGTATTACTTTTTACGGGGTAGGCACGCTGAGCAGTGGAAATGGGGACGCTCCTGCAGTACCTCTGTCTTTCCACCCTTGTGTGAAGAGAATTGCATGTGAGTGCCAAGGACCACATTACCAACCTGTTACAAGATTAGGATTCCTTTTTCCAAAATAGGAAAAAAAATCTATCGGTTTTCCAGGTGCTGACACCTTCATCTTTCACTCCTGTGACCGAGTTAACTGGTCGCATGTTTTAAGATGGAATTTTGCAGGTCCAGAAAGCCGTATCTGCCTTTTCAAGTTCAATGCTCCTTTATTTCATCATCATTTACTTTTAACGGGGTTTCACCCAGTGGATGCAGGGGTGACTTTTATGAAGGCTGCTGCTCAGTTAGCTCTTGTTGTACCATCAGTGTCCTGCTTCATTTTGAGTAAGATTTTGGATGCAAAGACCCATCAGTGCAGCCATTCTTAATCCCGAACACAAAGGCGGCTGGAGTAAACTGTCCTTCGTTTTTTTCCCAGCAGCGCAAGGACTCTGCTCCGTGTGCTGCCGGGCACCTGGCAGCAGTCTGAGAAAAGCCAGCTCAAAGCGAGCCCCCCACAATCCTCCGGCCGGCTCCGCTGGTGACCCCAGCCCACAACAGTCAGCCTGCGTAATCCCAAATATTTCAAATCAAAACCAGAATCAGTTCTGTAGCCCAGAAGGCTAATTAAGACCATTCCTGTCATATCCATAACGCAGGATCCCCAGCCTCTGCGAGTAATTGGGAACAGGGGCAGGGGGCAGATCACATTATCAATATCAATTATTTTAATCCGCACCAAAGAAGCTGCAATAAAAGGAAAATGAAAGAGGCCAAACTTTGTCTACCAGCGATGGCAGACAAAGGGCCGCAATTCACCTGCTGATTTCAACCCGCCAGAGGGAGGAAGAAGAGGGCGAAGCTCGAGATACCTCTGCGAGGGAGGGAGGGAGCTGGGAATCTGCTCGTAATTAGGATGATAAAACTGGGTATTGGACCAGCTCGTAAGTGGACCTGGGCCAAACGTAGTCTGCTGTGATGTATGTTGGCCACCCCAGCTCTCCTGTTCCAGTCCTGAGCTGCGGTCCAAAATCTACACAGGCTTCTCTGCCAAGAGAATTAATGAAAACACATGGCCTCCATCTCTTGCGTGGTGAGCGCGCCCTGCACTATTTATTTGTAGTAGAACCAGCAGCCATGCTCGTGGAAAATAACATTTCCACTTTTGTCAGGAATCGTGTATAAAATAGTAAAATGTTGTTATGGCTTGGGTAATTAAACAGAGCATATTTTTCCTACCTCTTTCCTCTCTAATGTGCGGGGCCTTAATCCCTGCCTTTATGGAGATCTGTTCCTCAACTGAAGACTCTCTGTTTAGAGGGCTTACGATCTGTGACGCTGTGTAATTTGGAGAGGGAAACGGCAGAATGCACGGTTGACATAGGAAAGGTATTTTCCTACCAGCCTAACTCTCCTCTGATCCCTGAGGAGTAGATGGGCTCTGGTAAGCGTGGAAGAGAAAGGCAGACACTGATGGAGATGAGAAGACTTTGCTACACCACCATACACAGCCTGGCACAGGGAAACTACCTGGAGGCTGAGATGAGGGGTGGAGGTAGAAACACTCGGTGGATTAATCGTGGCTCTGGGTGCCAGGAGTCCCAGACTCTAATCCCAGCTTGGCGAGACACCATGAACGGGGCATTTAACCTCCTTCTGCATGAGTTTCTTTGCTGACGTGGCCAGAGGCTCCACGGTAGGTCCGTACCTTTGCACCCAGGTGTGCACGCAGGTCGGGGCTCCCGGTGCCCCGGAGCTTCACGTGCGGCGGTGTCCACCTTAGCATGTGAACATGGACATACCTGGCTGGTGGCTGGCAGGTGAAGTCCTGAGCTCTGACGTGCCACGGGCTTTATTTATCATTTGTTGGGTTTGCCATCGTTTCACTGTGGCTGTGGTTAGATGGCTTTTTTTCCCCTGTAAGAATTCCCAGCAAAAAGGAGGCTTTTGCCCAGTGGAACCTATTCCTGATGCAGTTAATCCTGAAAGAAGCTGCTTCTGGGTTTTAGGTCTGTTTGTCATCATGATTATTAAGCATTTATCTACTGTGTACACAATGGTTTACAAATATGTGCAGCGGTTTGCAGACTGGAGCTAGATTTCTGCTTCCACTGGAGCGCATGGCACAGATCCCACAGCGTTCGGCATCATCGAGCGAGACAGAGCCGCCTCGGTCCCTGCTTGTGTGAGCAGGGAGACGTGGCTGAGCGTGTCCCTGCCTGCTCCAGAGCATCCTTCCTCCCCCCAGCAGAGTGCCACAGCTCCCTCCCATAGCCAGGCTTCCCTATGGACCAGGGAAAAAGTCTAGTATGGAAGGTTTTGTGCCTCTTGAGGCTGTTTCTGGAGCTTGCACAGCTTGTAGGACGTTGCCCAGGCATGGGCTGGAGCAGCTTTCGAACTGCTGTTAGTAGGTACCGGGACTGTGAGCCAGGCACCGGCTCGGGGAGCACCAACCTGCTCCCCCAGGGCCTCTTCCCATTCCCTCCCGTGCCAAGCTTCAGCTGGCCCAGGCTCTGCTGAGTCTGGGTGTGCTGCTTCGCTGGCACAGGCACAATGCCTTAACGTGCTCCAAATGGAGAAAATCCTCTTGTGCAAGACCCGTATTTCAAAATATCTCCCCACCAAACCTGCGGCTCTCCCCCCCTTGCGCTTACACCGCGGCGCACCTTGCGACCATATGTCTTGGCACAGGGCGGGTTTGAGTGGCACAGGCAGGAGATGAGCGTTTCTGACCCGCAACCAGGCCAAAGGGAGCTTGGTTTTGGATGCTGGTGGTGGTCTTGGCAGAGTAGTTAAGGAGATAATCTTGAGGGGTTTAGAAATGGGAAAGTCCTACGCGGTCACATCTATTGCGTCTCCCCGTATTCCGCTGCAGGAGTACTCCCTGTGGGATGCAATCCAGCGATGCTTTTTTATAATGGCTGCCAAAGCATTGTTGCTTTTTAATTACAGACAGATATCTTGTAAAATTCAGCCACCAACTGGTAGGAACAGCTGCCGAAGCAGCTGCTGGGGCAGGCGAGCGCGTGGAGGAGAGCCCCGCTGGGTGTCCTCCTCCTCTGCCAGCTTTGCACTGAAACTGCGCGGGAGCCCTTAAACACATCCAGGGGGTCCCTCGCGTCCCGGTGGCCTGTCCTCGGCCGGGCCAATGCTGGGGGAAGCTCAGCAGAGGTGGCAGCCATGGCAAAGGACCTGTGGCTCTTCCACTCACAACTGGAACAACGTATATTTTATAATTTTAATTTTAAGTTGGTTTTTTTTAAAGTAATGTTTTAAAGTGAATGCTTTTAATCTAAGAGTTTCTCCAAGATTTGCATCCTCTGCTGCAGAAAGCCAGGCTAGGAAGCAAACTTACTACTAAGACAAAGATGAGGCAGAGGGATAAAGGGAAAGGAAAACAAAAACCTGCTCCCGAATCAACAAAATCCTCATCAGCAGTGGAAGTAAGACCCAGGATTTGCTTCCTTGCTGTGGCGTTATCTGTAGGTGCTCAGGATGGGTCGGTTGCCACGAAGCAGAGAAGTTTGAAGGACTTTGCTGAACCCGCCTCTACTTAATAACTGAGTCACATTTTAGCTCTGAATTTTTCAGTGCTGCTGAGAAAAGCTTTGTTCTTTACGTAAGATGCTGCGCAGCCACAAAGGTCACTTCTTCTGATTTGTACAAATTGTCGCTAATTATTCTGTAACTGTTTTTCTTAAATAGAGGCTGTCAATCAGTGCTCCAGCTTCTGGCGTACAGCAGCTCTCCAGTTCCTGGAGAAGCTCTCCAGAGCACAATGTCTTTTGTACCTAATTATGGGCTTGCTGACTGATAGCTGTGCTGATAAGGATGAGAAGGAAGCTCTAACTGCTCTTTAACTGCCTCTTGATTTCTT